CATGGGTTCGCTTGTGATCGGTGCAGCCTCTACAATGCCGGTGAAACTCGTCCGAGGATACACACGGGCCAATCTTTGAGCCCTTATAACTAATTAGTTAGGCCGTTTTCCGACCTGATAGTGCCAGATATGGTATAAGCGGGGCCTCAAATTCATACTGTGGGGTGGTGAACTGTGCCTTTAACATACTTTTTGAAATGCCCTCAACATCAGTTGAATTCTGAGAAGCTTACTTCAAAAATTTCTTGCAAAGTGATCAACAATGATCAAGTACGTACTGGAAAACGTACTGAATCAATTCCTGATTTTTCGAACTTTCTCTTATCGAAATTCTTCTATTCTTCTCTTATGTGAGGATCTGATGAGCAAGTAGAGTATTAAGCAATGATATGACATGGCATGGAAACATAGGAGTTCTCTCGATAAGATCACCCTTTTTGAAAAATTTGAAGGTAAAATTACTGTCGAATTATAGTTCGATGTTGTCATGTGGATGTAGCTGTTAAACGAAAGTTCCTCATCATAGGTAATGCGTGAATCATAATTCCCCCAACTGAAGTTTCTCCAAAAAAAAACACGAGGCTAAAAAGAACATCATGCGAAACTAAATATGAAATGCACTTTACAGTATTCACAATGGCAGATTTGGAAAGGGACTCCACTTGCCTTTTCAGATGATCGACGGTACACCCACTTTGATGGCGAGCTACGATAATCGAGAGCACCATTATCCTTGGGCGTAATCATGTTATCATGAGCGCCCCGTACATCGTTACCGGGGAGTTCGACGGAAGCCTTGGTAACTTGGTGCTCGACACCGATGATGAAGCTCCCAGTGATGTGTTTTGATGTGTTTGGCGATGGGTCGATGTTTAAGATGGGTCCTGCACTTTTTCCTAGTACATGAATCCAATACTGAAAACTAAGGTGGCACGAGCGACGAAGAAGCAGAGATTTTGTAGGTGGATGATGCTCAAAAATATGACAGATGGCCTTTCTCCGAGCCTGCTGGGATCAGTCTAGAAGTGGATAAGTGCGGCGATAAGCCATCCCAATTTTATGAGCTTCTATCACTGAAGAATTAATGTAAGAAGAAGAGAGATCTCGAAGATTTTGGCAGCTATCGCCCATCCTGCTTACTCTCGTAATTTAGGAACTTTTCACATGCGTCATCCTCAACAGGGTTGGCAGAATAGTAGAGGAAGGCCAGTCATGCGAGCATGCAGGGTTCCGGATAGTGTTCGATACAATCGATCGCATCCACGCCCTTGCAAGACTTATGGAGTATTGCGAGAGTGCACCGCCTTTACGTTTTACGTTTATCGATTTGAAGGAGACCTTTGATACCGTCGAGACAGAAACGATAATTGAAGTTCTGTGCAGCCCCTGGCCTAGGGCAACTTAATACATAAGGATGCTTCCTGAGCTCTACGTCAACTTTCCGGCCAGGGTTTTGCCATTCTGCGGGGAATCACTATCAACGTGAAGAGTGGAGTCGATACAAATTCTCCCAAAATTTTCAGCGCCTCTATCGAGAAAATCGCGCACCATGGAGTACTCAGGAGTAAACGTTGAAGACTGCTACTTACATCATCTCCGCTTTGCAGAAGGCATCGTGCTTATAACACCGAATATCTAGCAAGCGGAACTAATGCTGGTCAAACTCGAGAGCGTTTGTGGAAATAGTGGCTTGATACTGAACTCAACGAAGACGTGTGTAATGAGAAACCAATTGGTGCCTGCTGCTTCTTTACTTTGAACGTAACTAATATTATCGAACGTTCTGGCAAAATTATCATGCTTTCACCGTAATTCAACGCGCTTCGAAGAAGAAGGTGCTTGGAGTTTCTCTATATACGCAAATGCAGAAGGGAGTCTGGAGTTCCGAGCATCGTCAACGAACGAAGATCAGGGATGTCGCTGCTTATGCCAAGATCAGTGGGGCCGCACACATTATGCGGTGTCGTGATGACCGTTGGATCAGGGCGGTTCCTGACTGGATCCCTGGGGCCGTCAAGCAATACCAGAACGGTCGCCTGCGCGGTGGTCAGACTTCTCTACGAAAGCTCTAAAGGAATGCCATGCCTGGTGTCGCTCGAGCAAGGACGATCCACTGAACCACTATGGCTCGCGACAGGGACGAATGAAGACGTTACTGGCGCCTGCTCTAAGAAGCAGATGGTCTAAAATTATCACTGGAACGGGTCCCCACTGCGACTTTCCTTCTTTTTGGAAAGAAATAATTATTATTCGTGATTTGTAAAGCAGGGTTTTTCAATTCGTCAGTGAAATCGTAATGAAGAAAGCTAGTCACTAACTGTTGGTGTATCCGAAATTAGTTTCACTTCAAACATGAGCCTTTATATCGAATTCTCTTGCCGCTGTTTTTATGCCAACACAGAACTTTTATATTGCCTTCAATCCTTTCAAAATTGATGATCAATCTAATAATGCACTGAAAGTTAGATTTTGTCTTTTGATTCTAGGTAGCTGTTCTCTGGGCCGGCCAGCGAGCCGACGCGCCGGCGCACTGACGTAAAACGAATTAGTTTAGTAAATGTAAGAAATCTACGTCTGTTGCATTTTATTTCACGGTTCTGACCTGTTCTGACCGTGAAATAAAATGCAACAGACACGTAGATTTCTTCCATATGAACTAATTCGTTTTACTTCAGTGCGCCGGCGTACTATGAAAGCAGCCCTTTACACACGGGGAAGAGTCATTCAAGCTGTCGGGAACTGTTTGAAATCAGTTCTACCATGAAAGTTGCTATGGAGCTTATGCTCACGCAAACTTCTCTCAATCTGTTATTGACAGCAAGAAATACTTTGACCATGACTTTCTCGGTGGGAGGAGAGCAGTCAACGACCTGAACACCGGATCCAACACGATACAACACCTGTAGCCGTCTTCCATAGATTCTCATTTCTATGCATTCGACTACAAGGGGTAAATAAAAAAAGTGCTCCCGAATCAGCTGTTCTTTTCGTAGCAACTTATTGTTAGGCACTCAAATGGCTGGCTTGGAGACTGGAGACGACTGAAGGAGACTGAAGAATACTGAAGCAGTGGGAGGAAACAGTCTGGTTAAATAAGTTGTAGTGATCTAGCTTCCCACATTCAGACGAAAAATTCGCGCTATTTTAATAACTCAGAGTGACTTAACAGTTAATTGGAAATGAATCTTGCTTATCTTTTGCCCATCTTTTTTGTGTTTTCTGTCACGTTCCATCACTTTTGGACTTATACTGATTTCGAAATTGGATAAGGCTACTACAAAAATGGAAAATAAAGGTCTGTCTAGGGCAATTTGTGTGATGTTTCCTTTTATGTATCGCAGAGGTAGTACTGTCAGAGAAAGTGTAGATCGTGGGAAGTGTAGGCTCCAAAGAGAGCTGGCATGGGCGAGCATCTTTTTCCGTTTCATTCTTTTTGTTTTGAATATGGAAGGTAACAACATGGGAAAAAAGATGAAGGGAAATATCATAGAGTGCCTGAGTGGAGGATTCGGATCTGACAATTTTAGATTGTGCTTGCAATGAAGGTGCGAGCAATGTACAATAACACCTTCCAACTTTCTCCAGAGAATCGATGAGTTCTAACTTCACTGCGCGCCTGCAGTTGAACTTACAAGATCAGGGGACTAAGATGAGTAGTAATGAACAAAAAAGGAATAATCGTAGGCCCGGCCTCGATATCTCTGAGGAGAGGGACAAGTTTCCACTGAAGCTAGCTTAGCCTATCATGGCATACACTTTACACTTCATAAAGCCAGACACAGCGAGTATCCCTTCCCT